ATATGAGCTTACAATTATGTCTTGAGATAGGACAGTAGGTATCAATATGAAAGACATAGAATGGCCTTTCCTAATGTGAAAGACAACTTGTGCATGATGTCAAATACTAATGCTGCAGCACTGGCAATATGATGGCAATCCTTCAAGCTCATCCCCATAACATAGATAGGGCCAAGGACACCATAAACTACATGTCAATTACAAACTTTTTTAAATGAAAAAGCAGAGACTACAAACTCTTCTAATAAAAAAGTGCACACTACAAACTTTTCTAATGAAAAAGCGCAACACTACAAACTTTTGTAGTCTCAAAAAGCGGACACTACAAACTTTTCTAATGAAAAAGCGCAACACTACAACTTTTGTAGTCTCAAAAAGCGGACACGTCTATTGAAAAATCGCAATGAAATACCCAGGGATACATTTGAAAAATCGCAATGAAATACCAAGGGATACATTTGAAAAATCGCAATGATATGCCCAGGGTACCTATTGAAAAATCGTAATGAAATACCCAGGAATACATTTGAAAAATCGCAATGAAATACCCAGAGATACATTTGAAAAATCACAATGAAATGCCCAGGAATACATTTGAAAAATCGCAATGAAATACCCAGGGTATGTATTGAAAAATCGCAATGAAATGCGCCAGGTATCCATTGAAATTTTGCAATGAAATATCCAGGGATACATTTGAAAAATTGCAATGATATGCCCAGGGTATCTATTGAAAAATCGCAATGAAATACCCAGGGATACATTTGAAAAATCGCAATGAAATGCCCAGGGTATCTATTGAAAAATCGCAATGAAATGTGCCAGGTATCCATTGAAATTTTGCAATGAAATATCCGATACATTTGAAAAATCGCAATGATATGCCCTGGGTATCTATTGAAAAATCGTAATGAAATACCCAGGAATACATTTGAAAAATCGCAATGAAATACCCAGGGATACATTTGAAAAATCACAATGAAATGCCCAGGGTATCTATTGAAAAATCGTAATGAAATACCCAGGGATACATTTAAAAAATCGCAATGAAATGCCCAGGGTATCCATTGAAAAATCACAATGAAATTCGCCAGGTATCCATTGAAATTTTGCAATGAAATATCCAGGGATACATTTGAAAAATCGCAATGAAATGCCCAGGGTATCTATTGAAAAATCGCAATGAAATACCAAGGGTATCTATTGAAAAATCGCAATGAAATATCCAGGGCTGCATTTGAAACTTCGCAGAAAATGCGCTGGGTATCTATGGAAAATTCACTATGAAATACCCAGGCCTACATTTGAAATGCCTTTCAAAAAATCCTAAGCATTATAGATATGGCCTCTAGGCTTAAGTCTAAGTTATAGAAATGACCCTCTAGGCTTGGGTCTAGGTTATAGAAATAAAGTGGTAGCCACTAGTGGACATTTGGAGGAAGGGGCATGTATTTTGGGTTCGCATTCTGCATTCCGAATGTAGCGACAGTCTTCAGGATCAATGGGCGTTGGTGAATAGAGATATCGCCGGAGTCATGGTGTTTGATCATCATCCCAAGGACCTTATCTGGTCGTCCAAGGTCTGTAATTTCGTAGGCATCTCCAAGTCCGGCTTTTGCTTCAATCTCGTTTTCGGTGGAGGAAGATCCTCCTGTAACATCATCGGTATACATTCCGCTTATTGTGTATCCGTTATTTGTCCATTGAATCCGAATACAAGGGTCCGCTCGAGATTGACGATGTCTGAGTTTAGTGAAAGTTGTGTTGAGTTCACGGAACCAGTTGTTAGCGCCATCCATTGTACCATAGATGGTGAAGTTCATGAGGAGGACGGTGTCGACGCCAATGATGCCGTAGTGTTTCTCGAAGCCTTCAGGAATTTCCAGGAAGTTTTCGCCTTGGGGTACGGAGTTTAGGTATGCGCCGACAAAGTCGATTAACCATAAGCGGAGTCCAAGCGACACGATCAACGCGAAGAGCATCCTAATAGATTCATATCTCACCACAGCGGCGAATGAATCCCACCAATGTTCTCCATACTTTTGAGAAAATCCCTTAACCACCCCACAAGCTCTCCTTCGGAGCAAGTTCCCTATACCATCGACTTTCAAATCATATATCCATTTTCCTTTAATGGTCTTAATGCCTTTTGGACGAGCGACAGCGGTGACGACTCCACGACTATCCCATCGTTCAATCTCTTTCTCCATAGCGGGCATCCATAGATGGCGTTGGGATAAATTGAATGCATCCTCAAATGTTTCAGGTATGAATTTATTGAGGGGATCAGGAGCTGATTGAGCATTTAAGGCCATAGGGGATTCATCCTCTTCATCGTTTGGTTCGAGTATAGGGACTGTGAGGTCGTCGGTGTCTGTAGATATTACAGGTGTTACCGTTTCAGCAGCAGCAGCAGCGAGTCAGGACGATTTTCGAGAAGCGGGGGGATAGATAATACATTGGCGAGAGACTTTGGGTTTGTCGAGGATAGGAATGGGAGTGTCAATGGTCTCAGATGAAATGTCGTTGGCAGCATGACGTGTAGGATCATCTAAGAAGTCATAGTCAATGTCTCCATCGTCCTCAACGAAATACTCCCCCTCATCCGTGAGTGTCCGGTGACCAAGTCCTTCCTCAAATACCACGTTCCTAGATCTGATGATCTGACCAGTCTCGGGAATCAAAACCCTATAGATTCCTCGACCCTCTAATCCCATCAATCGCCCCTTTTGTCCCCGATCTGCTAGTTTGCCTCCACCCTTCTCATAAGGGATATGCACATACGCAACACATCCCCAAACCCTAAGATGTCCCACATCTTGCCTTTCCCCTGTAAACTTCTCTTCTGGGATAACCCCTGGGTGTCGAGCAGACGGTAAGACATTCTCAACAGTCTCTGAGAAAGCCCACGCTTCAGCCCACCATTTAGCGGCTAGTCGAGCGTCATTGAGCATTACTCGCACAGATCCAGTCGTGATTCCGATCGAGCATTCCACGGTTCCGTTAGATCCAGATGAGTATGGGGCTGTTGGGACCATGATCAAACCGTTTTCGGCAAAGAAAGTGACCCAGAGCTCGCTTTTAAACTCTGGTGCGTTGTCCATCCGAATAAAGACCATGTGTTTGCCAGTGACGTTCTCAGATTTGACTTTATAGATCTTTAGGATGGTTAAAGTCGTTTCAGCAGTTCGATTTGAGATGAAGAATGTTCGTTTGCGTGAGGATCCATTATTGTGGAACTTCATTCCATAGATGGCGCCCCCAGCTGAGGCAATGCGAGCTGGTCCCCATTGGTCGATGTTGGTAAGTCGTAAGACTTCTGTTTCAGCTTTGACTTTTTCATCATATGCTTGCTGCTTCTGGTTCCCAATAATGCAGTCTTCGCATTTTCCCAATGTCTCTTCGTTGGTGATTACCAGACCATCGACTAGCTTGCTAGCTTCAGATATTTGCGTAGTTCCGAAATGGGCGAATCGACGATGCCAGAGAGCAAGGTCAGCTGGGCTTTTTAGCGATCGAGCAGTGAGGATGGTTGGGATGTTTGAGACATATGATCCTCTGACAAGGTACACTGACTGGGCAAAAAGAATGTCCCATCATTTTTTGGACAAAGTGAGTCCTGTAACGCAAGAACCAAACATTTTGAGAACTAAAGTCTGGTGTATGTAACATAGCCAAAAAGGTGTAGATTGTACATACCAAGTCTGGGGATGAACAAGTGAAAAGTCATGATAAGGCAGGGAATTGACTGTGACAAGTGCCAAAAATGGGATGTAACAGAGTGGGAAATTCTGAATGACTGCAACCTACTGAAAGCAATTCACAACTTGAGGAAGAGATATTTTGAACACTGGATCTCCTTGCTATTGTTATAAGCTTCATAAAGTCTCTGGGCTAGAAAATTTTATATCCTCCTCTAAAAGGTAAATTTGAACCTGTTCTCCATTTTATGTATTTTTCACTCAATATATTTGTTGGAATGAGGTAAAATGACTCCCCATCAATGTTTGTAGTGTGTATAATACAAAAGGTTGGTAGAAATATTAAAATGAACATTGCATGATGTCCGTAGAAGCTAATTTCCAGAGTTTTTCTGGAAGTAAACAAGTATCTACAACATTGGTCCTTCTTTTCTGCAAGAAGAAAAAATGCTACCATCCTTTTGAATTGATCCATGGAGACTCAGGATGTCTTTTAAACAATGCCTAAAGTATAGCATGATAGCAAATAAATTTACACTGGGTATAACTTGAAAAGTCCCAAATAAAAGTACATCTTGCATAGAGCGAGAAAGGTGTGGGGTCTCAGATCCTTGTATAAATAGGACCTCTGTTTATTTCTTTGGGATGGTGTTACTAGGCATGAGAAGTGCCTTGTGAAATATTTTTAGCCCCAATTCACCAAGAAAAATGTTAAGGATTGGTCCAGGATGATTGCTCTATGCAAGATGTACTTTTATTTGGGACTTTTCAAGTTATACCCAGTGTAAATTTATTTGCTATCATGCTATACTTTAGGCATTGTTTAAAAGACATCCTGAGTCTCCATGGATCAATTCAAAAGGATGGTAGCATTTTTTCTTCTTGCAGAAAAGAAGGACCAATGTTGTAGATACTTGTTTACTTCCAGAAAAACTCTGGAAATTAGCTTCTACGGACATCATGCAATGTTCATTTTAATATTTCTACCAACCTTTTGTATTATACACACTACAAACATTGATGGGGAGTCATTTTACCTCATTCCAACAAATATATTGAGTGAAAAATACATAAAATGGAGAACAGGTTCAAATTTACCTTTTAGAGGAGGATATAAAATTTTCTAGCCCAGAGACTTTATGAAGCTTATAACAATAGCAAGGAGATCCAGTGTTCAAAATATCTCTTCCTCAAGTTGTGAATTGCTTTCAGTAGGTTGCAGTCATTCAGAATTTCCCACTCTGTTACATCCCATTTTTGGCACTTGTCACAGTCAATTCCCTGCCTTATCATGACTTTTCACTTGTTCATCCCCAGACTTGGTATGTACAATCTACACCTTTTTGGCTATGTTACATACACCAGACTTTAGTTCTCAAAATGTTTGGTTCTTGCGTTACAGGACTCACTTTGTCCAAAAAATGATGGGACATTCTTTTTGCCCAGTCAGTGTACAGTCCGTCCTTCAATACCCCTCCAAAAATCTCCCTTTTCCCCATGAAGAACCGTGCCTTTTGTTTTCCAAATATGACCTCCCAACCAGCGAGATCCATTCTACTGATTGAGATGAGGTTGGCTGTGACGTCGGGGGCATGAAGGGCATTGGTAAAAACCAAGGTGTGTTCGACGTTCTCATGTACGACCTTTATCTCCACTGTTCCCATTCCTAGGACTCTGAAATTTGCTCCTACCATCGACGATTGACCGATTGTCTTGTCGAGGGATTTGTAAATGGAGAAGACATTTCGAGACTTGAAGAAATAAGTTGTACATCCCGAGTCTGCAACACATGCGGAACTGATCCCAATTGCCTCAGGATTAGCAGCAGCGGCAAGGGCAATTTTACGTTCGACGGCAGTGTTCTCATCAACAAGCCTCTTGATATTGTTGGTTACCGCACCTGGTAATATGAAGCGGTTTTCGGTTGAGGCGGTCTGGTCGGTTTCAGCATTTTCGCAGATGAGGGTATCAATTTCTTGGTAGTTAAACGTCACAGATAATGCCCAATGAGTACCAGGGGTTGTGGACCCAGATGATGTAGATGACGTTGTCGATGTTGTTAAGTTTGCGCTTGCAGTAGCCCGCTTTCCCTTGTACCAGGGGGGGTATTGTCCAGCCTTCCCGCCTCCGGGTCCAAAACAATCCTCCATAAGATGGCCGACCTTCCCACAAAGTGAGTTTGCACATATCAAATGAGCTTTACTTGGGTTCGTCGTTCCACATTGGTGTTGGAAAGGTCTGAAAGTTTTCATCTCGGCTTGTAATGCGAGAATGGTTGCTTCAAGCGCTTTAACAGTGTCGATAGAAGGCGGCATAGGCATATCGGGATCTTTGGACTTTCCCTCACGAATACTGAGTCGTTCGACGTGGGTTGTTAGGTTCATGATCACGGTATTGAGGTCCTTTTCGCTGTACATGCTGTTGATGACAGCATCCCATGATTCAGGGAAGGAGTTGAGAAGCTTGGTGATGAAGTGCTCGTTATTGATATTGGCGCTGGTATTGTTTGCAAGTTTCCGCAAGGTACGCATTTTCTCTATATGCCCTCCTGCACCTGCAACAACCGCCCCCTCAGACATGCGACATGTGCCTTGGTGGCGCCTGATGCATCAATTCCAGAACTGGAGAGATCAGCGATGTTAATTAACACTGATGATAATGCCACATTTTCATGGAGTTCGTATTTGAGTAGAGTTGGAGTGGTTGATAGGAGGGGAGTCGACTTCTCAGAAGTCTGAGTGGCAATAGGAGTTGTTGCGGAAATGTCGATTGGTTTTTCGATTACGGTTGTAGGATCGCTGGTAGGGATAGGACCGTCTAGTCCCACAGGGACGACGACTTTATTCTCCCAGTATTTGTGTAGTCCTCTAGGTCTCCCATTAATCCCCATGAGTATTTTCCAAGCGGGGTAGTTTTCGTAGCCATGGAGTTTGTCGTTTTCGGGTAGGATGAACATGGATAAGTTGGACGGTGAAGTAGTAAACGGCTGTATTGGTCTCTACCTGTTAAGATATGATAAGTAAACTATCAGAGACCATAAGTAATCAGGTATGAATAATAAAGAATAAGATACACACCTCAGACGTTGTACAAGATAGTAAACGGCTGAGGAAAGCGTAGAAGGATGGGGGGGGAAGAAAATAGTAAAGGAATAATAAATGCAAACATATGAAGTCATTCGATCGAGAGGTGTATGGGTTCTAAACCTCAACATGCCCATAGAGTGGGTTCATACAATCAGGGTCTAACACCAATAAAACTGCCAGGTGCTGCATGGCAATGCAATTGAATTGAAATTGAGGAATGTAAGTGCATAGTGTGATGGGCAAAGAAGGGTTGATAGAGATGGAATGTGCTGCTGTGCATGTTATGACTTGCACTACACAGTGTAGTGCCCACCATAATGAGGTGCCAGTGGCAGGGTCAAGCATGTAAAAAAGCTGGCTCTTAGGAAGTGAAAGAGTGATGAAATTATTGGCAATGAGTGACCAAAATCCTTATGAACTGATATGGTTGCTTATTAAAGTCTTCTGTCAGGGAGCAAGCTAACATTCCATATGCCATCAGACAGAATTTCTGTCTATCTTCTGAGGACATTCTGTCTCTTCCCCATGCATGAATAAGTGGATGCATGGTATAAACACTTTGGATGAAACCAGTTTGACTAGGCTAAAAGACAGTAATACTCCAACTCCCTCTTTGAAGATGAGATTGTCCCATTTTCCTGTGTTGTGAAGCAGAAGCAGTGTGGAGTCTATTATAGAGCTTGCAAGAGGCAAGGCAGACCTCTTCCAATTATCTCCACACTCCTGAGTAGCAGCATAGGAAAACATTTCCTCAGTAATACCATCAAAATGAAAGAAGGCAAAGATTGCCAGCAGAAACATTGCACTCTTAGCTGCCTCAGCTCTTTGAGAATCATCGCTTTTAGCTCTATGCTGAATCTCTTTGAATGATAGCTCCAAAGTCCCATACACAGTTCTGTTATATGTAGATGCCCCTCTGAAAGCTGGGTAAGATAATAATCTTTCTCTGTATTGAGAGTATTCATCAAGATAGTTTCTGATGTCTGTGCTCCCAAAAGCAATGAAAGCACCAGCCTGATCAATAGCTAGGGGAATGCAAAAGAGCTCATTCACAATCTTGGAAGCCTCAGCTTGTAGATCTTCCTGAGACTCATTCAACCAAGCAGCATTTAAGAGTAAAGAGATGGCATCACTTTCTTCCATCTCTTTCACCTCAAGAGAACTCTCATGTAAAGTCAAATGTTTTAAGCCAGAGTTGTGACTAGTTATCAGAATATTCCCTCCTAGTCCAGGTGGAAAATATTGCTCCAGTTCCTCAGGTGTCAGATTATCAGCATTATCAAAGACCATTGCATAGTTTTCTCTCAGAGAGCTAATCCACTGTAAAGCAGATTGAGGTGAACCATCCAGAGCAGAAGACTGAGCCTTAGGAAGGTTGCAGATTCCCTTCAGTCCCTGTGTGATTGTACCAATTGAAGATGCATCAATCCAGAAAACATGGGAAAAGCTGGGAACCCATGAAATGGGGACTAAGTAGTATGGTGGAGTACTTACTAGTCAGACATATCCTCAATGAACCTCAAACAAATCTGAGTCTTCCCAATACCCCCCATGCCATACAACAAAAAGAATTTTCAATGGCGGAGTTTATCATTGCTTTCGGCAGTAAAATGTTTCTTCAGTTTTGCAAGAACGTTGGTCCGTCCTATGAAATGAATACTTGAGTTTGGTTTTATGGGAATCATTGCATATATCGTTCTGTTGCCAGTGCTAGTGTAGTAATTGATCTGTGCAAAATACCAAGTGATTAGCTTGCAATAGTAAGAGGCATCAGAGAACTTCACTTACAGCATTGGCAACGTTTATGTTGCTGTCAGTTATAACAATGTTCTGAGCTCCCTGGAGGACATTTGGTTGGCTCATGTTGGAAGTATAGCAGATGGGGGCGAAGGAAAGAAGTGAGAATCATTTGCATTTTGCTGGGACATCCAAGCGCTCACACAGCACAGCCCAAAATTCTGTCACCTGGCACTCGGAACCTGGCTCAGAGAGGCGTAAATGTTCCTGTACATGCAAGACTCAGTGGGCCACCTACCATACTTAAAAGATGGACTGCGACATCGAGCCGTATCATCTATCCAGATGTCAGTTTTCTCCACATCTTCACAACTAGGATCCATTTTGCTAACTTCTCATTTCATAGGATTTGCTTCATCAATAATGTTTGTATGTATCTTTGGTTTGATTTTTTTCGTGTGTGATCACTCCTGACAGTGTATACGCGCACTTAGGTGCATTATTAATCCTCGGGAAAGCTGAGTGAGGTAGAGTCGACGGGGCAGACAATTGGAGAATAACGACGTCAAGGGGCAGCTGGAAGTTAAATGCAGGCCAGCGGGGAGTCGGGGACCAACTCAATCTCGCTTAACATCTGCGGCTCTTCGCCTTCTTCGAGATTCAATGCCGTCGATGGACTAGGTGAGTAGACATCGGGAACTAGATCAATGCAGTGGCAGGAGTTCGAGCCACAAATGTGGTGGAGATTCATGCAATGGGCGTGGTGGAAGCTCGCACCACCAGCAGGACGACCGCGACTCACACCAGACCAGACTACACAGCGCACCTTCACGTTGGTGGCGTCACAGTCGATCCCTAAATCACAAGGCCCCTCAAGCTCAAGTCAAACCAGAATGTGCTACTCCTTCATTGGCTGGGGCTGGCCTAGTTCGATTGTGACTGGTGGGTGCGATAAGGTCTTGAGGGTCTGGGATGGGTGAGTTTTTTTTTGGATTTTTTCTTGATTGACTGATGAGCTGGTTCCTCAGCTGGATGAAAGGGTCGGGGTTCGATCGAAAGAGGGGGTTAGGAGTAAATCTAAAACAACGGCCACAGACAAGGGTTAGTAGGGTTCGTTTGTTTGCGTTCGCCCAAGTTCGGCCCTCCATGCTAAAATCCAAGAGGTCTCTCCAAATCGTTTTCAAGATACCTTGTTATTCAGGGTTGCTTTCGTTCCTAAAATTTAGCTTTATTGTGTTTGTCCAGATTTTCAATTACTGGCTTTGTTGGATCCATCAAGGTTTTACCTCGCTTCCACAGAATGGTGGGCAGTCACTTTCCCCATTCAACTGGTACTCCATCTGCCGCATCTTCTCCTCACGTCTGATCTGGCAGGTTGTGAGAACTTGAACTTGGACCTAACGTCAGTTTACTCCTCTTCTCCATTCACTCCCCGATGTCGTTGCCAGCCTCGTTGTGATTCCTGATTTACTGACAATCGCTAGTCCGGCTTGTCAGGTAAAGACCGGATTCAAACGCGCGTAGGTGATGATCGTGGAGTATGCACAGTGTAGCAGAAACAATAAGTCATGTATTTCCAGGCGAGTCAAGACGTTTGCAGAAAACTCGACTTTATTGATAACTTTGCAGGGCACACTTGTGCGCGCGGTTGCTACGAACGATGAGCCAACATCCGGGAGCCACGCAGGGTATCCGAGTCGGCGCGTCGTCAAATGTGAAAGAAGTGCCATGTCATCAGGAAATACTTGCTCCGAGAACGGACTTGACCCACGCATCCACCCATGTTGACATATTCATTAATTTCCAGGAGCTAGCTTTGGGGCACGGATCTCAGCATTGTAAATTTCATGAACTCGCGTCCTTCGAAGATTTGGAAGCTTGGAAGGACATATCACCGAGGAGTCGCATCATGCGTGTCACATAGTAGATCGTCTTGACGCTGTCCAGGATTAGAGCTGACGTTGAGGGCGCATAATATTTAGCACAGGTTGTGCACAATTTGGCGCTCAACGTTCAATCGAAACGTCAAACTCAAGGAACCAGCATGATGAACTCTCTTTTCAACTTCAACAACTCCCAGAATCTAAACTTCCACAATCATCGGGGATAACTTGAAATCGCTCCATTTCGAGGGAAAGAACCTCTCCCTCAATCATCACCCCTGTCACTATGGGTCCAAGCTCCATTGCGCTACGTATACGGCCGAACACGTCCGACGCGGCGAGGGCAATGCGAAAAGTGGATCTAACCAAGTGTATGCGTGCATAGGCCCCCGAGGACTGCATCATCCCTGTCCTGATCAATTCCATTGTTTGGAGTCCCAAAAGAAATCTTAGGGGGTGAGGGTAGTAAGTAGAACCGAATTCGTCAATGACAAGAAAGCAAAGACAATGGAGGACAAACGGAGGTGTAAGTAAACAAAACTCGAATTTGCCAGTGACAAGAAAGCAAAGCGTAAAAAACGAGATATATAAAATTCAAGTTCAGGCACGTAAGTAACTACTAACTAATATACACAGCTTCCCAACTTTGTCTGGGTTTTTTTGGAGGGTTTGTCGCTTCGATTGCGATTGAAAGCATTGGACTGGACGCGTTCCGAGGAATGATTATTGCGCTGGAGAGAGTTCCAAGATGATGGTGGTGGGGAGGAGAGGGACCATGGATTATCGTATGGGTTTGGTTTGATCCTCGAAGATGTCGAGTCAGTGTCGGGGTATAGAGCAGCAGCAGCATAAGTAATAGAGATCGCCATCACGAAAAACAAAGGCAAGGGAGTGGGGGAAGGTTCAAAGCACCAAAGCCAGGAGGGAACCGCACAACGAAATAAGGAGGAGAAAAAAAGACAAAGCATATCCGCCGGGATGCGAGAAAAAGACAAAACGAGCTTCACATCCCCAACAACGAATCATCACACTGCACCTCAGCCTTCAACCCCCTAACACCCCTTGTCCTCCCCCTCTCCTCCATCAACCCCTCCCCACCCCGCTCCTCCCATTCACCCTCCGTCGAATCAGGGCTCAAACTCCCCTTCATCCCCATCCCCATGTCATCCTCAAGCCCCATCATAAGATCATCCCCGTCGTCCCCTCCCTCCTCCGGCATACTCGGCAGTCTCCCCATATGTCCATGCCCATGATGGAAGTGGTGAAGCTCGTCGTGGAGGATCATATTGCTACCGTCACCCCCAGCTGCTGGAGCCGAGTCCGAAAGCGGTGGTTCCATGCTGGAGGAGCTGCGTGATCGTCGACGGTAGGCTTTGAGCTCTTGTTCGAGCTCGCAGTTCCGGGCTCCTTGTGCTGTTACGAGTTGTTGGAGGTATCTAGGATAGTACAAAGGGGTGTTAATATTGCTTGGTTAGGAAAAGACCACAAAGAAAGAAAGGAAACCCACCTAATATACTCAACACTCTTCCTCAAAATCATCCCTTTATTCGCCTTGACAACACCCCCATCCCCCCCCTGCTGCTGTCCCCCACCTTCCTCACCCAACGAATCTTTCCTGGTCGGCGTTCCGTTCAACCCATTCGCACTGGGATTAGGACTGTTAAGCCCATTCAACATGTCGACGGGCGTGAGCAGCAAATCTGGGTCCGGTAGACCGTTCGACATGATCCCTCCCCCACTTGGGGAGGCGGCGGATGGGGAAGAGGCGTTTCCGTTTCCGGTTCCGTTTGGACCTGGGGAGGGAGAGGATTAGTTAGGTTAGGGTTTTGGGAATGGAGGAGTAACAAGAACAAGGGATGGGGATGCAATGCAAGAGAAAAAAGAGAGGCGACCCAATTAGTGTTGCCGCGGCTCGGCTAGCCGCAAGCCGGCTCGCTGAACCGGCGGCTTTTGCCGGTTCCGGTTTGTGGATCACTCAAAAGCTGATCAAGTCCGGTTCGGCTCGGCTTAGTCGGTGGCTTTGAACCGGTTATAGCCGGTAAATGATTGCCGCAATTGATGACTCGCGCGTTAAGTAGAATGAGGTTAAATTTGTAATAGAATTTGAGACAAATGCATTTTGTGATAAGTAAAATATATTGAACAAGCTATCAATCCTCGTCATCCTGTCCAATAACGTGAATTACCTCATCAATATCTATACCATCCTCCGTAATTTCTGAAGTTAGTTTCCCTAACAAATCCACTGAATCTTCGTTGTCATCTGCGTAGTACTCGAGTTCGTCTTCTGTGACAGCCCATCCCTCCGTAAAGTTTAGTCGTTGCTGCTTGAGCGAAAACTTTAACATTTGAAGCGCCTCCATTAGAACAGGGTGGATTCGATTTCGCCGCTTTGTATCAGTTTCGGCACTGGATGAAAAAACGCGCTCGGAAGGAACCGAGGATGCTTGAATGGGCAAATAATCTAATGCCATCGCGTACAATGTTGGATGAGTTTTATCACTTATCTACAAAAAAATCAGTGGGGCAAATTAGAAAATAGTGAGAGACTATACTTACCGCCCAAAACCCTACAATATCTGTGCCACGCGGTGAGAGCGGCCCATTTTCGTACAACTCAAATTGTTCTTCAACGCCTTGGACCTGCTGCGAAGAAGCACCTGTAACGTCCATCATATCTTCGAGCCC